GCTGGAGACACAGGGGACTAAACGCTCTGTTTTCCTCTCCCCCTGGCAGGAATTTCTACTACATCACCATCCTGCGTGACCCCGTGTCCCGGTACCTGAGCGAATGGCGCCACGTGCAGCGCGGAGCCACGTGGAAGGCGTCGCTGCACGTCTGCGACGGCCGGTCCCCCACCACCGAGGAGCTGCCCAGCTGCTACACGGGGGACGACTGGTCGGGCTGCTCCCTGCAGGAGTTCATGGACTGCCCCTACAACCTGGCCAACAACCGCCAGGTCCGCATGCTCTCCGACCTCAGCCTGGTGGGATGCTACAACCTGTCGGTCATGCCCGAGGAGCAGAGGAATAAGGTTCTGCTGGACAGTGCCAAGGAGAACCTGAAGCGCATGGCCTTCTTCGGCCTGACCGAGTTCCAGCGCAAGACTCAGTATCTCTTTGAGAAGACTTTCAACATGAACTTCATCTCGCCCTTCACGCAGTACAACAGCACGAGGGCCTCCAGCGTGGAGATAGACAAGCAGACTCAGCAGCGCATCGAGGCCCTCAATTTTTTAGACGTGGAATTGTACGATTATGCAAAAGACCTGTTCTTGCAGCGGTACCAGTACATGCGGCAGAAGGAGCACCAGGAGGCGCGGCGGAAACGCCAGGAGCAGCGCAAGATCCTGCGGGCCAAGCAGGCGCTCCTGAGGGAGCAGGGGGAGAACAGCTCCAGCACTGACTACACAGGGAACGTGGAGCGCTGGCGGCGGTAGTGGGGGGCACCTGCCAGGCAGAAAAGAAGCAGAGCCCAACCCAGCCTGCAAGCCGGAGATGGCGAGTGATGCTTCTCAAGGGTCTGAAGCAAAAAGAGGTCGAAATGTTGCCTTTGCAGTTGCCTTTGCAGTAAATGTTGTACTGTACGTGGAACACTTAATCTTAGCGTGTAATTGAATTGTCCTTTTTGGGTTTGTTGGATTATTTATGGAATACAGGAGCCATCTCGGCTCATCGGAAATGTTTGCTTGGACATTTATTTAAAAGAAGTGAAAGAAAAAAAAAATCCTTAAATTAGTCATGAGTACAAAATGGGATGCTGGAAAATGTTTATGATGCTCGGCTGAAATCTATCTGGGAAGCAAACTCATTTCCTAATAATGAGCATTTAGCATACTCTCACAATACAGTATATGAACAAATCCTTTTCCTTTGATTTTATCTTAATTTTATTTTAATAATGTGTTTTCAAGGGCACCAACTGCTTATGATATTTACCAAGTTAATGAGTGGACGATGAAGGGAACAGTAAAGGTCTAGAAAAATTATCGACTAGTTTTATGTATAATATTGGCTTTTAAAATGAATAGAAGTAATTTCTCTAGTTATATAAATATTTAAAATTTTAAACTTTTTCTACCTACTGCTGTTTAGAGTTTTAAGCTTGATCTATCTCATATTAAAAAAAAGAAAAAAAATACATACATACCTTTCTGAACTCAATGCCAACGTTATAAGACACTGTTTCCAGAATTTTTCAGGGCAGTCTGATTTTAACCATTCTGGAAAAGTTACAGCACATTCTCATGTTTGTTTCATAAAGCCTTCTCCAAGTTATAATCCTGTGACAGTGTCTCATTTTAAGTCTTTCTTACCCATTAGAATACATAATGCTGAATTTATCATTCCTTAATAATTGGTGGTATAAACTAGATGAAATTATGTTGCTGATATTTGTGTAGTGTCTTTAAAAAGTCATAAAACTCTCTAATCCCAGCAATATTATAAAGAGAATTGCTCAATGGAAGTAGATTTACACTTGAATTAGGATTTACTTCCAGTAAATCTTTGCTACACCAGATAAGAACAGGGCTTTTTTTTTTTTTTTTCCTATGCTCTTGAGCCCTTCATAGCGATGACGGATGAGGACTGGAGACGACGGAAGCCAGATTTTCCATAGCCATAGTTTCAGGAGGAGAAGGAGGTGTGGTGCAGGGGGTGCTCCCGAGCGGGCTCCGCGGGGTGCGGGGCTGGATCCCCGGGATCCCTCCGGCCTCCCCGGCCCACGGGACAGCAAACGGGCTGCCAGGGGCTCCTACAAATCTCTATGCAAAAAAAAAAATACAAACCTCTGCAAGGCTTGGGCCAGACTTTGAGCGAGCTCAGCGCGTTTGTCCCGCAGTGCTCCCGGGCTTGGCACTGAGGGCCCTCTGTGGCCCCAGGGACACGATGCTTACAAGGCTCACTTGCACTGTTGCCTTTCACCTGTAATACTCTATACACCATGAAGGCAGGGGCAGAAAATGAGGCAGAAGGCTTTAAAAACATCTTACGGCTCCACGCCTAAGTTACCTGGAGGTGGTTTCACATCTGATGTTGTGTGGCTGCCTAAGGGCAGCAACCCTGCCAAGGGCAAGGGGAGAGCAAAGCAGCAGCAAACCAATACCCTGCATTAGCAGCTTTGAGAAGAGAATAACTTCATGTACAGCAATTTTTTTTTAAATGAGAACTGCAGTTGCCAATATGATGTCTCAGTTATATTTTGGTTTTCACGGGGGAAAATAATTCACTCTTGAAACTGAAAGGCACTGCTGTAAACAGGACTTAACTGTGGGGCGAGCTGGAGGCCTGTTGCAGGAGGTGCATCTTGTTTTTATGCTGTGGTGTGCATGGTTTACAGAGACTAGTTGCATTTTCTTTGTGTATACTGTTTATTGTATATAGGGGATGTACGAATATAAGGATACCATTTTGTCATAACCATATCAAATTCTACTGATTTCCACCGTAGACGCTGTCTTATTGTGTAGATTTGCAGGCCAATCCACTGACTTTGATTGTGTCATTTAACAATAGAACTGATAAATAAAATTTAACTACAGGCTTCTGATTTTCATGTGATTATTTCTTTTTCTGACAGTGTGTTGAGAGCTGCACAGTTGAGAATGGATGGTAATTCCAACATGAGTGGAATAGCAGTTGACAGCAAGTATGTGAATTTGAAGTTATAGCTTTTCTGAATTGTATTTAAACTACAGCTTTCAAGGGCAAAACCACTTTGGGCTTTTGTCTGGTTCAGGAGTTACTGCAGAGGTTTCGACTTCTGAGCAGCCCTCACTAAAACAAGCTATGGTTTCTGGTGATTTTAAATATGATTGTTAGTGGTCTGAAGCATTAAGGAATTCTTTCCCTTTGTGTACATACATGTGTGTGTGCATATATTTATGATTTATTTTATATCCTTTATGAGATACCCACCCTCTATGTTAACTCTGGAGGATGCTGCCTAGCCACTGACTTCCAGTGCATCCCACTGTATCCCTTCTGGGGACACACAGAAATTGACAGGGACACCTTCCAATGTCCCAGGTTGCTCCAAGCCCTGTCCAGCCTGGCCTTGGACACTTCCAGGCATCCACAGCATCTCAGAGCAACCTGTGCCAGGGCCTCACCTCCCCCACAGAGAGGAATTTCTTCCTGATATTTTAGGTATATCTTCTTTCTTTCAGTTTAAAGCCATTCCTCCTTGTCCTGTCCCTCCATGCCCTTGTCAAGGACTCCCTCTTCACCTCTCTTGGAGCCCCTTTAGGCACTGGAAGGGGTTCTAAGATCTCCCCAGAGCCTTCTCCAGGCTCTGGACACCCCCAGCTCTCTCAGCCTGTGTCCAGAGCAGGGGTTCTCCAGCCTTCTGAGCATCTTCTTGGCCAGAGATACCACAAAGATACTTTTTGACAGTTTGGATGGAGGCTTTTTTTTCTTGGTGTCTATAAAAGGTCCACAAGTTTGCCAGGCTTGCAGCAGGACAGGTGACATGAAGGTGTCCACAGGAGACTTTGCCTTGATCTGCTGGAATTCACCAGTGAGGACAGAGCTGCCCTTCTGTGGGTACCTGCAGGGGCATCCTACCTCTTACCTCTGTGAGGCTTTTTGAGCCCTGGGGAGCAGGGGTGGAGGGTGTGCAGCAGATCTGCATTTGACTGGCTGTACAGACAGGTCTGTTAGTGCACTGAGAGTGCTGCAGGAGCAGCTAATGGCATGGAGGTCATGTGAGATGCCTCCCTGCAGCTAAAAAAGCACCCAGCAGTGAAGTCTGGCGTAAAACTAATTGGGGTTGCTTTTTGACGGGAGTAATTTGACAGCTGAGAAAACTCTTTCTGCAGGAGGGGAAGGATGGAAGAGTGGGGGATGTGTTTGGATGGACAAACTTCAGAAGCTGAGGAGCTGCAGCAGTGAGTCAAGTACCTCTCAAACCTCTGGTGAGTTTTGAAAAGCCTGGAGACACATTAAGAAAACTCTTTGGAGCACCAAGATGCCTCTTAAGTTTCCAGGGATAGAAAGGGATGTCAGCACTGCCAGCACCCGGGCCAGTCAGTGTGGAGCCCAGGGCTGTTGAGGACATGACAGGGATAGAAAGGGATGTCAGCACTGCCAGCACCCACCTGGGCCAGTCAGAGTGGAGCCCAGGGCTGTTGAGGACATGGCGATGTGTAGTGCCAAAATTAATGTTAAAGAGAAAGTCTTGGCTCCTTTTGCCCTCCAAAAAACCTGGGAAGTTGATAACTGTAAGGCCCATGTGACCTTGCAAAGGGCTGTATTTGGGTGTTAGAGTTTGGGACTAAAGCTTTCCTAAAGGGTACCTGGTATGTAAAGGCTGCTGGGCAAGAGCTGCTCAGCTGATTTTTGTCAATGACCTTTGCATCCTCTTGATATGGCAAATGATCCATTTTAGTGTGCTATAGTACATTTGCTTTCAGTGACGTAATTTTTGAGTCAAAATGAACTAATGGGCTTTTTTGTGTTGTTTTTAAAATTCACACATTATCCAAGTATCAGAGCCATGGGTAACACCTGACAGATACCAGTCCAATTGCTGTTTCAGCTGTTTCTGCTCATTAAATCAGTGAGGAGATGAGAAGGAAACCTGATACATCTCCTCTCTTAAATTTGAGCCAGAAATATCAGGTAATTGAGGAAACCTGTCAAACTAATGCAAACCTTGAGCTGCAGCCCTGAGCTGCCAGGCTGGCCCAGTACTCCAGGGAGGAACAGAGAGCAGCTCTGGGTGGAGAGGTCATCCTTGCAGAGATGCCTTCTGCAGGAGAGGTATTTTCCAAGCAGGGGATAAATTTAAATATTTCACATGCTAGAAATGTCCCTGTCTGCAGAGCATTTGGGTGGAGCTGGGGTTATTGGTTATTGCTGCACCCTGCTCGGGGCAGTGCCTGGGAAGGGAGAAGTGGAGAGCCCTTCACAAGTGGGAATGGGGATGCTGGGATGGGGATGTGGGATCTCCTGCCTCCAGAGTGGATGGAGCACTGCCAAACCAAGCAGTGACCCGAATGAGGGTGGGCTCCAGGCTCTGTGGGCAGCTGGCACCGTGTCCTTCCTGCCCTCCTGGCAGCTGTGGCTCCTCGGAGGAGCAGCCTGCACAGACCTTCCTGAGCAAATAGCCCAGCATCTGAACTCTTACCTATGAAATTCAATTCTGGGTTTCCTAAAGCAATCTCCCTGCTCCACCAGCCTCATCAGGGAAGAGTGTAATTTCATTTAATCCATTTCTTGAGTTCAGAGTGAACGGCGTTGCCATCATGCTAATATCACTGCTCTGCCATCTCTAGAGACGGGCTGACGAGTTTGGGCCTGAAATCGAATTTAGCTCTGAGCTTCCAGAGGATCTATCAGCCAAATTACCCGTGGTCTCTACCCAGCAGCTCTGTCATGCAGTTTAGCTCTGTGAGGATACATTAGGCCAGGCAGGAGAGGTTATATTGCTTTTTGTTTGGGGAGCAATGAAATGCTGAAACAATATATATGCAAAACAATCAAAATAGTTATAGTGAGAGCTGAGTGTTCATTTTCAGGACAGTACAACCACTGCCTTTTGGTATCCTCAGCTATTTTAATCTGTTCCCTCATATGACTACAAATAAGGTTTTCACTTGATAGCATGTGCACAAGCAGTTGGGAACATAAACCTCTATATAAGCTAGAGAGATTAATGTCAAATATATGTATTTTCTGATGGGCATTCATGGGCAGAGGGATGCAAATGGGTCCTGGCACAGCAGTCACTTGAGCCCTCATTCTGATAACTCTCTCAGCTCTACAGTATCAGCTGGTGGCCAATGGCACAATACTTGTTTTGCCAGTGAATAGCAAGTTTTCTGATACATGAAATTTGGGAATTATGATTATTACAGTGGGAAATTGATGAGTTTGGGGGATGTTTAGACCAAAGGAGAGATTTTGGAATAGCTCTATGGTTTGAGATTCTCAGCTCACACTTCATTGTCCCTCTTTGAAACTACATCCTTCTTTTGAATGCTGTCTTTAGATTGTAAAGGCAATCTGTAATGAGCTCAAATGATGCACAAGCTGAATTAAACCTTTGATTTCAGATTAAATGGTTTAGCCTGGCTTGGGAGAGAAATATTGTGACCTTTTCCTTTCAAAACATCCTCCAAATATAAGATGCTGGTTTTTGGGTGGGCTGTGGCTGTAAGGGACCCCTCTCCCCTTTGCTATCATTGCTTGGTTCTTGATACAGCAACAGCTCTGTAATGTTATTAATATTAGGTGAAGCACGTGGAAAATGTTCTTTTGTGCCACGTAAGCTGGTGAATCGGGGGGTCATGCCTCGTGGGAGATGTGTGCTCCACTGGGGCAGACTGGGAATTTCCCCTCTGGGCATGGCAAGCTGGGAAGTGTATTAATAGACATCATTACATTAGAATAATTGCTGTGGAATCAGCAAGCGCCTACATAATCTTTAATGCCTGGGAAATCTCACACAGTTTCAAAATAATTAAAAGTGGGATTAATCTAGATGCCAGACAACTCCTGCCTAATTACTAATGAATAAAGCTGTCTGAATGGCTGCAGCACCTTCAGCAGCAGCAGCAGCCTCTGAAGTCAATCCCCTGCTAAAGGGTGGCAGGGCAGGGGCCCTGCTCAGTCCTTGTCCCTGTCCCTGCAGGCTGTGACTGCCCAGAGGTCGGTGAGAGCCTGGGGAGGGGCTGCTGGGGACGGGACACACGGGACAGGGGGCTCAGCCCTCCTGGAGCATCCCTGGTTGTGCAGGTGTGCTCTGCATGTGATTGAGAGCTGGCCCCGAGCCGGCCCCATGGCGGGGATTTGGGGACAGAGGAGGGTGCAGAAAGGGATTTTATGGCTGGGTGAGAAACCACAGCTGGGCAGGGGCCCTCAGCAGCAGCTCTGATCCCAAACATCAGCTGGGCAAAACCCCTCCTGGCTGCAACTGGTGCTTGCTCACAGCCTGGGCCAGGCAGGAACTTCTGCTCCCGGGAGCAGCTTCGCCGTTTTGTGGGGCTGTAAATACCCAAAGAGCCAAAATTCTCCCTGCAGGAAAGGTGCTGTGGTGCACATCCCCCCTGGGAACACACTGGCTGTGTGTCCAGGGTAGAAGCCACCACATCCAGATGGACCCCAGTGCCACTGCCTGGTGCCCAGAGTGCCCCGAGGCTGTTTGCAGACACCAGCCACAGATTTACCAGGATCACCAGGATTTGTGTTCTCTGAAGAACTGCCACACCTGGAGTAACGCCTGCTGCTGGACTGAAGGCCAGGAATTCCCCTTTCCTCAGTTCCCAGGGATAACCTCTGCTGCTGCTGGGAAGTGCATTTACTGCTGCTGCCTTTGCCCCATTTGCTGCAATCCTTGGAGGTTTTCTTATGGACATGTGCTTATTTTGATTCAATAGAAAATCGCATGGTTAGCCCCTCATATCAGAGGGGCTAATTGATGGGGTGGACAGATGAGTGCAATGAGCAGGTCTGGGTGTATTGCTTATTTTGATATATAGATATATTTATATAAATATGTCTATTATAAAAATATATATTATATATATATGTAAAAGTATACTTTTATATACATATATAAAAGTTATGGGTGCTTCCTGGGAGTAATGAATTGAGAATAAAAAATAGTGATACACCAAGTTTTTAAAATACAGAAACATATATTCTTACAGTACAAACATATGGGAATAATGAGGAGGGAATCACAGAACTGATGCTCACTGTGTTCCATTGCCTGAGTTTGCACAAGGAGGACTCTCACCTGGAGGTGGCCCAGGTGGTGCCAGGTACCACCACTGCTGGCAGGCAGCTGAGCCAGGAGGTGACACATGGGCAGCTATTCCAGGAGGAATGGTGGAGAGCTCTTACCCTAGCCAAGGAGCCTGGAATGTGACCAACATTCTGGAAGTCACTTAAGATTTGTGAGCTGTGAGTGGGCTAATCCCCTCCTCAGCAAACCACGTTTGGGACCTCATGTCTGGGGCTGCTCAGGGTGGGTGAGTGGGGCACAGGGAAGGACAGAGCGTGTCCATGGTGAGTCCTGTGCCCTCTGCCCTGCCATACCGTGGGTACCACTGCTGTGTTTCAGCTGCATCCCCTCTGGGATTGCTCACAGATCCCCCAGCCCAGCTGGGTCCTGCCCAGGCAGCCCCCGAGCACCAGGCTCTGCCAAAATAATGCTGCCAGGTTTGATGTGCCAGGGAGGCACTGCCAGCACCACGCCAGCCAGAGGTGGGCAGCAGCAGCTTTCCCAAACATCCCTTCCATCGTGTCCTGCAGTTCCATGGTGGAGAGAGCACAGATTACAATGAAGGATGTCCTGCCTCCCTTCCTGCCCTTCAGAGCACGTTCCTCACTGAGGCTGCCTGGCTGTCCGTGCCCGTGCTGTGTGGGTGGCTCTGCAGGGTCCCTGTGCTGCTGCTGACTCACTCACAGTGCCACTTCCCCTCACCAGCTGGTCACACCATTGCAGTGCTGCCTTTTTCTTTTTTCATTTTTTGTTTTTTTAATTCTCTGTTTATGGCCTTGCTGAGAAATGCTGCATTGGCGTCAGTGTGTGCAAAGTGCTGCCTGCAGAATTCCAAGTCCCTTCCAGGGCCTTTCAGGATGTCACTGCCAGTCTGGAAGGAGTCGTGCTGGCTCTTTGTCAAACATCATATTGATTTTAAAATTACTCTGATGGCTCTTTAAGGCAGTGCACTTTTTGTGCCTTCTGCATTTGTCATAGCTGATCTCTCCCTTTCCCGTGGAAGGGCAGAGGGGTGGCATTATCTGGTTTGGCTGCATTTATTTTCTGGGAGTGGCAGGTCAGATTTCAGATGGGGAGAAGATGATCAGAACTGAAATGTCAGACTCTCCACTTTTTCCCAGTGGTGCTCAGCTCCTGAGCAGGATGGAACTCACAGAACACACTCTGTCAGCAGAGCTTCTCCTCCCAAGACACCTGGGTGGTGGGTAAGACAACAGTGCCTGGTCTGGAGGTTTGTAGGGCACAGGCTGTGATAAAGGGAGAGTGGGGTCCACATACTCCTGCCTCCTTCTTCTTTGCTGAATCTGGCCACCCATGCCCTAAATCCTCACCCCTTTGACCTGGCTGCTTTTCTGTCACTTCTGCACAAAAGTGAAGGCCAAACCAAAGGCTGCAGAGGCAATGCTAGAAATTAAGGTGTAAAGGTAAGTCATTCTTCTGCACACTTCAGGACAGCCTTTCCATGAGGGTAAATACAATCTCTGTATCTGCACAGCTGTTAATACTGTAAATGAAGTACAATGTTTTTCAGATTACTGAATCATTGTTGTCAGTAGAACAAGCAGCCCAAGCAGGCTGCCAAGGCAGGAGATGAAAGAAATCATTAATTTTATGTTCCTGGTTCATGCACAAATTTCTGAGCGAGAGTGATTAACTGCTGGGACAAGCCACTGAGGGGAGCAGGGGATCCTCCAGTTGCTGCTGTCTCCACATGAAGGCTGGCTGCTGCTCTGTGAGAGACTTTGGCCACATAAAGTTGCACTCTGTGCAAGTGCAACCAGCTTAATTGTGGACAGAGCCCACCAAGAGCAGAGGCCAAGTGGAGACAATTTAACAATTCTCAGCCACCCTTAATTCTTGTGCCATGCTCTTAGAAAAGGTCCCGCTGCTATGTGGGTTCTGAATATTCATGGGTCAGTTGATTCTGTCCCCTTAAAGAAATATCTCAGCTGGCAGCAGCCTCTGGGGCAGTGCTGCTGTCCCTGTGCCTGTGGGGATGGTGCCAGAGCTGCAGGGGACAGAAGTTCCCTGCAGGATGCTGTGCAGGGCCGTTCTGTGCAGCCTTAGAGCTTCCCTGCAAGGGACACCTGGGCATGGAGAGTGCAGCATTTTGCCTTTGGGGGTGGGAGGGAGGCTGCCCTGAGGGTGACAGCGTGGCAGAGCTGCCTTCCACCAGTCAGCTGCAAAACAGAACTGTCCTGCTTTGACCATTTTGTATATTGGTCATTTATATATTGGTCATGACAGAGGCCAGTGGTCCTCATCTGACCCTGGCACTGCTCATCTTCCTCACAGACCTCATGTGTGGGTTGGGTGCATCCCTGCAATTGCAGCACTGCAGCTGGGAAATTGTTCTGATTAATTCTCAGGGCAGGTAATAATTAAGCAGGATGCACCTTGGATTTGCTTGACCTGAGTGTTGGGGTGTGGCTCATTTCTCTTGCTTTGACTGATGGTCAGCCTGGCTCCCCAAGGGAGGGCTCAGCATGCAGGGGAGCAGAGAAGATGCAGTCAGGTTTGGAGGGAACTCATGGACCACATCTCAAGGTTGACTTTCCTGTGAGTCCTCGGAGAAGAGCCCATTTCTCTGGCCCTGACACGAAGGATGCTCCTTGCCTTGGGCTGTTGTGTGAGGAAAACTTTGCTGCTGATCATGGGGAGCAGTGTTCCATGTTCCCACCTGCCCAGCAGCAGAGATGGCTGCACATCACAACCCAGCCTGACCTTGGCCCTCATCCAGTGCCAGGATCTCTGCCCTCAGGGCAAAGTTCTCCCCTCCCTGGCCCCATCTGATGTCCAGGGGAAAAAGAGGCATTTATTGAAAGGATTTCTCTGTGCTGGCCAAGTTCTGCTTGGTATTCAGAAGTGGAAGAAAGTGGGAACTGTAATATTTGCATCCATGCTGATTTAGGCTTTAATTTAGGCAATAGAATGCAATCTTTATCTGGACTTTAATAGCTTTTCTATTATTTTGCTCCACAGCTACTTGGAAATGTGAGCTCCTTTACTACGTGACTACTTAGACCAATAAAGGAGCTGTTTACTTTACACATTAGTTTGCAGGCAGCCTCCTGCAAGGCTGCTGGTGGAGGCTGCCTTTGTCCATGGCTGTGAGTATGAATATGCATAATTAATAAATGTTATTTGCTGGACATTTATTCCTGAGTGTCTCAGCTCTCCTTGACCGAGAAATTCCGTCTCTTTGAGATCTAATGAAAGGTTTAGACTTTTTAATTTATTTTTTTAGATTAGTCTCAGAAAATAACCCTATTATTCTAATAGCTAGATCAGTCCCTGAGGAAGATATGAATAAATGAAAAAGCAATAGGTGAAAAATAGGCCAGAGCTGCTATTACAGAAGAGTCTTTCTGACCTTTTAATTTTTGGTTCAGAAACACAGGAAATCAGATTGTGAGCATACAAAATTCATCCAGCTGCTCCTGCAGCCCCAGTAGCTGTTTTTCTGTTCAGGAGTGGCAGAATTTCAACTAGAGCAAACATCTTCTCTGGAAATATATTTTAAGTGCCTGTTGTATTGAATCTGTTTCAGGTTGCATTGAGTGCACGAAATTCGTTGTCTGTGTTCAATCCTGTTTTGGATTGTACACACTAGAGGGAGCCATGGAAAAACCAATCACCAGCCTGCTGCCAGGCTCCTGCCGTTCTCCCCAAAGCCCTGGGCCCTGCCTGCTCCTTACCTCTCCCCTGGGAAAATGGATGTCTTTAAGGAGCAAACCCTTAAAAAAAAATCCCCCAAAAAACCCTCAAAAAAAAAAAAAAAAAAAAAAAAAAAAAAAAAAAAAAAAAAAAAAAAAAAACGAAAAAAACCAAACCAAAACCACTAAACACTGCAGGAGCAGTTTGTTGAGAAAAAAACCCCCCAAAAACCCCCAAAAAAAAAAAAAACCCGAAAAAAACCAACCAAACCAAAACCACAAAACACTGCAGGAGCAGTTTGTTGAGGTTAAAGTGAATTGCTTGAATATGCTGGTGTTGGTCAAAATTTTAGATGGAAAAGGCATTTATTTCAATATATGTAAATGTTGCCTTTTGAGAATGTCCCAGGCTAGTTGATGTTGGTCCTTTTGGATGTTGCCCCGTATTCCTCTTCCCCACTGAAACATTGTGTGTACACCCAGGAGATGCTTTTACACAGTATCCCACCCTCAGGAGGACAGCCATTGTTGAAGGTATCCAGGAGTCAGTTAAAATGTTTCAGGAGACAGGAAATTTTTTTTGCAACTCTCATCTGAAATTCCATGTTTCTCCTGCTTCCCAGGTTTTTGTGTGCCATCACCCACAAATTTGCCTAATCTCTTCCTAAAGTCCCCTGTGCTCCCAATACTGATTCCCAGAGCGGGGAGTTCTTGGGGCTGGGGGAGAGGGAGCTCCTCTGTTTTCCTTCTGCCTGGGCTCTCTTTGCCTCGGGAAAGAGGGAAGGAGATCTCCCAGCTCAGCAGCAAAGTCCCAGATTCCAGCAGCCTCCTGAGCCCCCATTTTCCTCAGCCAAGTGATGCTTGATTATAAGGCATGATTCAGGATAGCAGATACTCATTTCTGCCTCCTTTGGGAGCTGGTGATGCAATCCCTGTGTGCTGATGGATCCCTGAGCAGGTTAATGCACTGTGCGAGGCCAGGACGAGCCATGCAGCCCCTGCAAGTCCTGCATTTTCACAGTGGCTATTTGCCCTGGCAGCTTTATGGGAAAGAGTGGGGCTGTGAGGGGAACAGGGCTGGAATCAGAGCAGGGATGTGAGGATTTAGCCCATGCTGTTGTTAGTGGTGGCCACAGCGCTGCATGTGTGAAGCCCAGATGAAAACAGGAGCAGGCTGTTTGCTCTGCTGCCTTACAGCACAACAGCAGCTTTGTTGGAGCTCTGATGAGCTGTCTCTGCTGCAGCTCGGGTGCAGGCTGCTCTTCTGTCTGCAAGGAAACATCAACTCTGTTAAGGCAGAAATGCTTCCCCATGAATGACAAGAAAAGAAAAGCCGAGCAGTGGTCCTGTCAAGTGCTGTTCCACTGATAAAACAGAAAATAGGACAAAAGTTTTCTCCCATCAAACAGGGTTATTCTCAGCCAAGAGCAGACATCTCCCATTTATTTATATCCTCTTGCTCCTGTGCTCTTTTCGTACTCCCATCTGTATAAAGTTTCAAAGGGGCTCCAGGCCTGATGCTGCAAGTCCCCAAAAGACCTCATTGAGGTAAATAAATCCAGCAACAGGCTGGCAGAGTGTAACAGCCACTAGGAAACTAACTGGGAAGGCTTTCCAGGGTTGCAGCCAGACCCTGGCACAGAGGAGGATGCACAGCTCGGTGGGTGGGACACAGACACTGCCACACTGGAGGGTCAGGGCTTGCAGCTGTGGTGGTGCAAGGAGTGGCAATCCCTCCCGGCCTCTCCTGCTCTCCCACAGTGATTAGTGCACCTTTTGTAAGTCATGCAAAGAAATATTAGCTGAGTAATACTTAAACAAAGGCTCTGTGTGTTTGGGGATGGTGGGGAGTGTGCAGGCTGGGCTGCCCGGGCAGCCCAAGAGCAGATTTAGAGCAGCTTTTACTTTGTGATGAAGCCTGTCACACACTTCTGCTTGGAGCAGTGACCCTGGAGGAAGAAATGAGAACCCATTTGGGAAAAGGTGATACTTCCATAGGTCATCATATCCCGAGTCCCCCAGTGACCCAGGGAGGTTTGTTCCCACCCAAGATGGAGATATTATTCCAAAGTGAGCTGCAATGCACAGCAGGCACAGCGTCTCTCAGTGCTGTGGTCTGCAGGGAGAGTCTCCAGGGGGATGGTGCTGGTTGTATTTGGAGATGATTCAGAGGGACACACCAGGGACAAATCATGTCTGGGTTCCCCTGCATGCTGGACATTGTTGGGAAACAATTTTTCTGCTTTTCAGATGCCTCTCAGGCTCTCCAAAGGCACAGCTGAGCACTGAGGGGCAGAGTTGTGTCCTGTGTGTTGTTCCCAACCATTGTACCTGGTTTTATTTAGGAAAAAAAGGCAGCAAGGCTGGCAGAAGCCATTCTTTGTCATATAATGCAGCAACTGAAAGGAGAAACCCTGCTTTTTATGGCTCTCAAGGAAAGGCTTTCCATTTAGCCCAGGAGTAGCAGCTGTTCTCCCAGTTTACAACATACAAACAGACGGCATTGTTTTCTGATTTGCCTTTTTTATTATAGCTGATATTGGATGGATAGCTAGCAAAAAAACCACAAACAAACAAACAAAAATCCAACAGGGGAAGACCGGCCCAGCTGGTTCACTTTATGGCTTTTGGGAACTGCAGGAGCCCAGCACATGCTCTTCCAGGCAAACACCACCCAGGTACACCCGTGATCAGTGCTGCTCTCTCTGGGTTCGTGGGAAAAGGGTCTCCTTAGGGTGGGAGGGGCAGTGAACAGGTGGTCCCAGGGGAATTTCTTGGATATGGGATGTATGCAAGAGCTGGGAGGTGCCCCATGAGCCAGCCTGTGAGGGTGGCTCTGCAGCCTGTGGGGAGCACTGCAGTCAAAAGGGACTTTTCTCCCTCAATTCATCAAACACAATTGCATTAATGTGAGGGAGCAGAGCACTGAGTAGGCGGGGGCCATTTTAACAATGCGGTGATGCCTTTTTTATTTATTTATTTCACCAAGATCGCACCTGCAAATGGCCGAACTGATTTCTGTAAGTCAGGCTCCTCTGGTCAGGTGCTCAGCGGGTATTGCTGCCTCGGCTGATCTTTCTGCAGGCAGCACTGGATTTTTTTTTTTTTTTTACAGCTTCCTCAAGCTCATCTACCCTCCCGGCTGCTCTCACGGTGCAGCAAAGCAAAGGGGCTTCTGCCAAGGCTTGCCAGGCAGGCCACTCGGCAGGGCTCTCCTCTGCCTTCGGGTGGTTTGAGCGCTGGTTAATTGGCAGCAGGTTCCTGGCCTCGCTGGAGGCAGGGGCTGTGCCAGCACGCCGCTTCCTCCAGCGCATCGCTCCGCTGATTACAGCTTGACTCAGCCTTGCAGCGCTGCTGCTCTTCCCTTCCGAGCCTCTCCTGGGAGCCGGAGGTTTTGGCAGGCACTTCCTCGGCGTAAGGTGTCTCTGGGGACCCGGGTTCACTCGCCGGGACTGTCTCACATGTGCCCAAACTGGCTGCAGGCTCCAGCCATCGAGGGAGAGGAGCGGATGCCAGCAGCCAGTGAGTCAGAGCACTCCCATGGTATTTGCTAGGCTTGGGTGGGGTTCCTCAGAAATGCCAGTTCGCTTCCAAAGGAACATAAATCACCACATTTATACAAGCTTCAGCTCCACAGATCCCTGTTTAGCAGTCAGGATGGGGTTTACAGTTAATTAAAAAAACAAAAAAGAAGAGGGCATGTGAAAGCAAGACCCAAATGTCTTTAATAATTATCCCAAGAGCGAAAACTTTCACTCTTCTTTCGGATGATGACAAACACTGGGGAGCAGCCGCCCCCGGAAACTCGGGCCCCTCCTGCCTCCCTCCCTTTGAAGCTCGGTTTCCTTCCCCTCGGCGGTGCAGGACGTGACTGGGGACACTGTGTTGTTCATCACACGCTGGCACTCGGGCCCTGTGGGGGCTGAGCCCGGCTGCTCCTGCAGCCGCCCGTGTCCTCCCCGCAGAGCAGCTCCCCGTGGCTGCCTGGGACAGGGGAAAATGGGGTGGCTGCAGCCATTTGCTGCCTTTGGAGGAGGAATTCCTCCTTCCCCATCTTGCCTGGCTCTGCTCACCCCTGCATGGGTGATTTGTGTGGGCCAGGGGGGACAAGAACCCTGCCTTGCAGGAGGAAGGCACCAAGCGCTTTCCTGTGGGTAATCCACCATAACAGTCAGCAAGGAAAAGCTCCCAAACCCCTTTGTTTAAACCAACTGGACCTCTCTTATCTGCCCCACAAACTGAGAGCATCTTTTCCTGCCCTCTTGCTGCTGATCCAAGTCAACTGACTGAAAGCCTGGATACCTGGTGGCTGGGCTGTCCTTTGCTGCCTGCACCTGATGCTCGCAGCCACCCACAGCCCACTGCCTCCTTTGTGAGCCTTGTTCCCCTCCCGTGTTTCTACCTTTGACGTTACGTTCTTTCTCTTGCGAGTCCAAAGAACAAAGCTGTCCTCCCCACGCACTCAGGCACTCCTTCTTTTCCTAACTGAGCTCTGCAGTGCAGAGTTATTAATAAAAAATCACAACGTCATGTACAGCCCGCACCATCACATCTGTCAATGTCACCACGCAAGATTGTGTGTTTTTTCCACCTTTTAATGTTTCTTTGCTGCAGAGGTTGTTTAAAAGGAGGAGGAGGAAAGCTGAGAAATCCCTCCCTACCTGCCAGAAGAAGTGAGTGATTATTTCAGTTAGGGGTGTGGCACTTTGATGTCATCATTCATGGTTATTAAAAACTGTTATTTGAGAATATTCAGCTGCTAAAAATAAAAGAATTCTAATACTCTACCATGATTTATCTTATTGAAGGTGTCAAAAGGATCCTGGTTTGTCAACCTCTTATGTAAAATGTCAATTTCTAAGAGGTGCTCATGGCCTGTGTCTCTGCTCACTCCTTGGTAACCTATTTAAGGTTAAGACTCAGCAGTGTCCATTAAAATCAGCTTCTGCTTGAGTGGGGTTAGGTTCTGAAGACTTGTTTTCAGCATTTCCCCTAGTTAGTAGAATCCATACAGAAGG